CTTTATAAAAAAAAAAAAAAAAAAAAAAAAATGAAGAAAAATCATTGTGGTTGACAGTGTCATTTGCCGTAGGGGGTGCGAAAGTGTAATAGCACCGCAAACTAGACCACCACCGCTAACTTTTTAGAATTTAATTTAGAAAAGAAAAAAAAAATTTTCCACAGTTTGAACAAAAGTTATTTCTTGAAAAAAAAAAAAAAAAAAAAAGTTTTGAAAAGTCCTAATTCACTCTTTCTAAATTAATTTTTTTTTAAAAATGTGTTATTCATTAACTGGAACCAACTCAAAATCATTTTCGCGCGTTTAATTTATGATAAACCAGAAAAACAATTTTTTTTTATTTTTGGTATGTAAATTAAATTTCCATTGTTCGATTTTTCGGCTCAAGACAAAATTTTATTCAATTTCCAATAACAAGTTGTTGATAATAATTATAAACGGGGGCAAAGGTGGTAGGAATTTGAGTAATTTGACTTTTTTTGTTTGAGTTTGAGGTACTTAAACTGTATTAAAAATAAATAACCTCCCTACCAAACAAAAAAAAAATTAAAAAAAAAATAAAAACAAAGTTGGGTTTATATTCTCGACTTACTTTTATTATGCTGAAAATCGGACATTAACGTGTTGAGTGTAAAAAATTCATTATGTTAAAATGCTGTTGTTAAAAATGCTTTGGGGGTATTAATCTTGTCTTCTAAAGACACGCAAATAAAAAAAAAATGCTTCAAAACAGCCTAGAAGGCAATTTTTAAATTACGAGGCCAGTTACCATTTAAAATTTTTAGATATAATTATTTAAAATTAAAAAAATGTAAATCAATATAATTTAATTTATTGATTACATTATTACAATAATAATAAATAAATAAAAGCAATAAACTGTAAAAGAAATTGTTGAACTGTTTTAGGCCACAAAAATAATTAAAAAGTCTAGGTTGACCCAGCAAAGAAAGACTGGATTAAATTTTTACTAGAATAGTTTTACCTTTTTTTTATTTTTTTAATAAAAAAACAAAAAAAAAAGTTAGTTTAGTTTTTTTAACCTACTGGATACAGTGAAACTCGAACTCATTATTTATGATATGAAAGTCCAACTTGCTGATCATTACACCACGGTAGCATTCGGTTCTTTCAACTATGGGGCACCCAGTGAGGATCGAACTTTAACTCATTTAGTTAGTGATTGTCAACCAGACCAGCTCGCGGTTTACCACGACACCGAAAACTGCATTCTTATGGGGAAAACATGTAGGGACCAATAGTGAAGTGTCAACAGAATTTATTCATTCCATAAAAAAAAAAAAAAAAAAAAAAAAATAAATAAAGACCTCATGCAACATCAAAATTCTTCGGAAAAAAAAAAAAAAAAAAAAAAAAACTGACATGTTAAGTTAGTTAAATTAAATTCTTAAACCTTTAAGTCGTTGCTTTCCTTCTCCTACACGGACAAAATACAATAATTATTTTCCCGGGGAATAAGCTCGAATACTTTGTTTAATTAATATTTACATGCTAATGAACAAAATTCTTTAAGTTTCAAAAAAGTAGCTAATTTCTTTTTATTTTTTTTTTTATTTATCAAAGAAAAAAGTGATATGTCAGTAGTCATACCTGAAAGAAAACTGAAACTCCCCCACCACTAGCATAATAAAAATAAAATAAGCTTTTAGGATTTCGTTAGTTTTCAATGGAAAGCATTACAAACATTTTAACAGTATTAAAAAAAAAAAAAAAAAAAAATGTTAAAAAAACTTAAAATAGTTTCAAAAACTTGCCAAGTGTGTGTGTGTGTGTGTTTTGATGCGTGCTTTTATTCAAGAAAAAAAAAAGTTCTTCGAAACTCAAAAAGACGTTTTAAATTCATCTGTAATTAAATTTTGCTTCCGATAACCTAACATTTTGTTATGGCAATATTTTTTTTTTTTTTTTTTGACAAGATAGAAAAAAAAAATAAGCAATTTGATAACATTCCTGAAGTTTAATTAACATTTTAAAATAAATGGAGAGAAAGTAGGACCATTAACTTTTTAATTGAAAGTTAATTTAACAAGGTTTCAACGGTTAATTTTTCGTTCCGAAGTACAATTTTTTTTTAATTTCAGAACCTAAGCTCGATATATTTGTTTTAAAGAAATAAAATTATTATTTTTTTTTTTTTTTTTTTTTTTTACCTGTTTCCATTCTGAAAAATCGAAGATGACAATTTTAACTGTATCAATCCTGGACTGGAAGATTCATCTTTGGTAGGTAAACTTTCGAATGGTTCAGAGTCTGTCCGAGAAATATCATTTTCTTTAGATAATCCAAACGAAAAGTCCGCAATTTCTTCTTTAGAACTATCGTGTTTTTTGCTAAAATAACTTACAGGTGTTGAATTAAGTGGGTTAGGACCTCGTTGATCCGGTGAAGGAAAGGTTAGAAATAATTTCGGTATAAAATCCTTTTCTTGTAGTTTCTCATTCATTTGAAAGGTTCTTTTTGGTACCGGCAATATAATTTTATTTTTTAACGTACAGAAAAAAAAAAACAGTCTGAGTTAACGCACTTGAATTAAATTCCAACTACTAGAAAAAAAGCTTCAAATGTTTTTAAAATATAAAACGAAACACTTATTTTTATAGTGTGTGTACTTGATAGAGAGAGCGATTTAGGTACATTTTTTTTTGTTCTGTTTCCTTAGACATCTTTTAAGCTTGAAGAAAGTAGCATATTCAATTATTTGTACGTGTTGGGGACGGATTGAAACTACATGACATCAAATGAATGCCCGTAGACTTAGTAAGTCAGCAACAATAGTTACTGACAATGTTGTCTACTAGAACCATATAACGACTGGTTGGTAAGGTAAAATCCCGCTTGCTTAGTGACAAGAGCAGACCACACTACACATCTCACTTAGTCGTGTACCTATTTTGTTTTTGTTTCTTTTTTTCCTGCTTTTAGACTAGCGGCATTCATACGAAAATTGTTTCGTGTGTTTTTTGTTGTTTTTTTTAAGGCGACACTTTTTGTTTGTTTATTTATATATATATATATATATATATATATATATATATATATATATATATATATATATATATATAAAATATGTGCGTGTTTGTTAAAACTTAAAAAAAAAATTGAGCTTTAATTTTAAAAAAATGTTTGTATGTATCTATTTACTAATTTTAATTGTCATTGATTCTTTTGATTTAGAAAAGTTTTAGAAATTGCTTAAAATTACTTTTTTTTAGTTTAAACTAAAAAAAAGTAGTTTTTTTTTTTTTACGGTTAATTTTTTTTTTCAATTTTCTTGCAATTATAATAAAAATTAAAACTTCCAAAAATATATTTATTTAATTTAAAATAATTGCAAGAATAATTCCTCTCCTTTTTTTACGCTCCTTAATTTAATTAATTAATTTTTTAAGTTATTATGTAGTAGACTTTTAGTTTTTTTTTTTTTTACTGAAAAGAAAAGCACACCGTATTGCTTTTTCTTCTTCATTTTTTTATATTATATAATTTAATTAACTAATATTTAAAAAAAAAATGTATTAAAAAATACTGCAAGCAGAACTTGTGATCACATATTTTTTTTAGTCTTTGTAATAAAAACTATATGAGTTCGATCCCCGGAGTGCACGCGGAAATATTTTTGTGTTCCACGAATGAAGAAAAAAATTAATTTCAGTCAGATTGTTTTTTGTTTTTGTTTTTTTCTTAAAATTAATCTGTGATAATTAGTGTTTTATTTACTGCTAAAATAATTAATACAATTTCGGATCAATTGTTTTTCATTTTGTGTTTTTTGTTTTGATAAAGCAGATAAACGTTTCGACCATCGGACACTTACAAATCTTTCCAAAACATAATCGACTGCGACAGACACTTCCAAACTGGAGGAGGTAAAGCGGTTGAACTGTTGTGATAAACACTCAACAGTCAACACACAACAGAAATGATTGAAAAAACTCCTTTGAAATAATTCGAAATTAGTTAATTTTACATTTTTTAACAGAAACCTACCAACGAAAAAAAATAACACTTTTTTTTTCTCGCTTTGGCTTAAAACGTAGAAATAAGCGAAATAAAGTTCTCCATGTTGTTTCAGTTTCAGTTACGGCTTTAGTTAAATCATTTATTTATTTCTTATCTTGTTTCTGCATACAATGAATATTGCCAGCATAAATAATTATTCTCCACGCGACACCATATTTTTTCAAAACACGTATTACCGGGGTGATAACACTTTTTTTATTAGGTCCCCAACTATGGGTTCAAAATATATTTTTAGTTGAAGCCATAAAATTGTGTTGAAAATATTTAGATTTTGGCATTAAATCGCCCATAGAGGTGCTATCACCCAGGTCAGGGTGGACCTGGGAGCAACAGCAATTAAGATGAAGATCCACCCTCCTCAAAATCTTCAATCAGAAGCCTTGCTGCCGGATGTAGTTTATCGTCATACCCAGAACTTTCAAAATGTGAAACAAACCTGCATTTTGCAAGATAGTTGGCAACCCTACCTATGTTCGGAAGATACATGTTATCCATTCAGGAAAAAGGCAATCATGGCTCTCCACAGATTCCTTTTAATATCTATGAATTGCACGTTGTTATGATTGTTTTTAAAAAACAGTGGAGTAGTTTCCTGTTGACTATTTCCATAGTTTTGAATTCTGAATCATCCCTCTCAGAGAATAGTTATTCTAACAAAACAAAAGAGTCCAGTCTACTTTACTATATTTCCACAGCTAAAGGAGAAATAATAATTGCAGGTTATTTAAAGCCAGAAAATATTTTAAGATTTTAAAAACATTTTGGAGATAATAATGATTTATTGATACAAGTCATACTAATTAACCCATAGCTGGTAGGATGAAGAAGTGGATTCATTCCTTTCCCAAGGGTATTTGCATGTAAGCGAAGATAATGAACCTGACTGGAATGAGAACTCGGCTCACCAGTTTCCAATTCTGAGCCATTATCGATTACACCATCTGCAGATCCAAGTTTATGACACCTAGGATTCCCAAGCAGTCACCCATCTAAGTACTGAGCAGTCTCAATGTTGCTTAACTTCAGTGATCATATGAGAAGCAGTCTTTCAATGTGATATAGCTGTAAGCTCAAAGTATTAAGAAACAGTAAAAACTTCTGTGGATTAAGTAAAGAGTTTGGTTTGAAATTCCAATGTATATTGCCTGAAAAAGGCCAGACCGTACAATGGCTGAAACATTGTGAATATGGCAATAAAGATGAGGACAACCATCCAAACGATGTAAATAGTGTAAATAGTTACACTACCTCATCTCAGAAATATAGACAGATGTTGTTATTTTTAGCAAATTTTGATTTATGTAGATTTTTAAAGTTTATCTTCAAAAACACTACAGCATAAAATGCTGTAAAACTGAAACTGAACCCTCAGGGAAACCCCAACTTAGTGCTCCTAGCCTTTTTAACTTATTCTACAGAAGTACAGTAAAACCTCTAATTAACAGTCCTGGAACCAAAGGACTCCAGATTTAAATTTAAAACTTTTCAAACTTTATTTAAATCTATATAGTAACTTAAAAATAAAATACACATACATATATACTGTATTTACATTTATTTACAATAATTTTGTGCTGTACTGAAATTTTTAAGGCCATAAAAAATAAGTGCTTCAAATTAAGAGACAAACAACTTTAATAGATGATTCCTCCTATTAGTTTGTTAAATTGAGGTTCCACTGTATTGCTCTAAGAAATTAGTTGTGTTTGAACTTTGTACTTTACATAATAGTAAGCTTATGTAAATCACTCAAGTACAACACAGACATAGGCATATACATTACATCAACACATGCAAAGACAGTAAGTTATACAGTTTAATTTATGTAGATTTTAAAAATTTTTCTTCAAAAACACTGAGGTATAAAATGACACCCTCAATAAACTTCTATTTACAGCAGCTAGTCTTTCTTGCTCATTCTAAAAATGTGTAATGGACAAGAGCTAGGGAAGAAATCTTTATTTTCCCATTTTCCCCCATTATGGGCATTATTATATTCATGATATAATAACACCATACTTCATGGACAGAATGGAATGGCTGAAAGGGAAAGGAATGACAAACAAGCTTTGTTCTCAGAGAGACTTTTATACTAAAGACATATACAAAAGTATATATGCATATATGTACATGTCCTATGTGTAGAATAATATATCATATATATCTACACAGTGAAGCAGAATGTAAGGAGAAACAAAAATTAAGGGTCTTACATATAATATGGAGATACTCCTGTGTCTGGAGAAGCCATGTTTAGGACTCCAGTTTCATCTACATCTCTGGCAAAGACATATTCCACAAATGAGAAACTGTAAGTCTTGGGTTTTCCCAAATTGAGGACTACAAGCTAGACTTTCAGAAAGATATATTCCCAAACAGAAGCAGCACCATGGAGTTGTAAGCTGCTGGGTGGGCAGGGTTAGCCTCTGCCTAGGCCAGGGGAGGACAAGCTAAAGAAAGCAACCTCACTGTTTGGCTGCTGTAAAACAAATTGAATTTAACTGCCACATTGGTCATTGTATAGAGTGATGTTATGAAGCAACTGTGATGTAACCCACATGTACTTATCTCCACCTAAGGGGGGATAAGCATCTTCTTTATCCTTACAGAAGTATTTCTCAAAGAAATTAGATGTGTCTGGGCTTTGTATTTTAGACTTAAGTAAGCTTATATAAGTCACTCATACTCAACACAGACATAGGTATATACATTACACCCACATGTACAAGGTCACATACACAGAATTATACTATTTAACTAGCTCTACTGAAAAGTGATTTATTGATCTTGAACACATTAACAGACATTAAAAAGCATAAAAAATTGTCAAGTTTAGAGATTTTTAATTTGGTTCTAAACTGCAGTTAGTTTTTTATCCATTCAGTTTAATAAGTTTTATAAGTAGCTGAATTGTTAAACTGCAATTTGAAATTGAGTTCTAGCAGCAGACTCAAAACATATGAGAACGTGAGAGTTGCCAGACTCCAGAGCACCGGATAAGAAAAGTACAATTATACTATATTGTCTTGGTAACAATGTGACCTTTAAAGGCCATTAAAGAAAATTTGAAGAAATTAGTTTGCAAGAAAGTGAAATTTATTCTCTCACAATTCCCATGACAGGATTTAACAACTGCTCATTTTTAAATAAGGTTGATCATCTTGATACATCTCACACAATTCAGTGAGGAAGGGGTCTCCAAAAACCAAATTGGTAACATTCCATACTTCCAAAACAAATCAGGTAACAATCCATACCTCCAAAACAAAGCTAGTGACATTCAATACCTCCAATGCAAAGCTGGTAACATTTCATACCTCCAAAACAAAGCTAGTAACATTCAATAATTCCAATGCAAAGCTAGTAACATTCCATACCTCCAAAACAAAGCGAGTAAAATTCAGTACCTCCAAAGCAAAGCTAGTAACATTCCATACCTCCAAAAGAAAGCTAGTAACATTCAATACCTCCAAAGCAAAGCTAGTAACATTCCATAACTCCAAAATGAAGCTAGTCACAATGAGACTCCCAGCCTTGAACATCTGTTAGGATTCAAGCTCGCTACAGACTTCAAGTGGAACTTGTACATATGATCCCTCACTAAAGATGCTGGAAAAATGATCAGTTCCTTTTGCTGCTTTATAAAGTACCTTACTCCTCCTGCACTGCTTTATCTTTACAAGAGCCAAATCAGATGAAAAATGGAGTATTGCTGTCATAACTGGAATGCAGCTGCCCAGTCCTCACTTTCCAGTCTTGATAGAGTTCAAAAGCGTTTGTGTGGCCTTTTGGGTGATGACTTGTCTTCCACCCTACAACCTCTTTCCCTACAGACAAAATGTTGCTCACCTCTCGCTACAAGCTACATTTCTTTGTTCCACCAATCCAGACCTTCACAGCTAGGACCTTGTAGGGTGCCTTTTAAGCTACTGTGTCTATATTTCTGAGATGGAGTATTATAACTATTTACACTAGTTACATTTATTTGAAACATTGTGAATATGACAATAATGATGAGGACGACTGTCCAAACAAAGTAAATATTGTATAAAGTTACTTGTATTTGCTTGTGTTTTTAATTCATAGTAAAAATAATTTATAAGACACATACAAAAATTAGTAAATACATTTCTAATTTTATGTTCAAATAAGCATCAAAATTTGGTTTTGATCTCAATTCACAGCAAGAATTTTGGCTTATGACCATATCATGTTGAAACACCAGTTCTTGTACAATCACTGAAGTTAAGTAATGTCAAGCCTAGTCAGTTTCTAGATGGGTGACTGCTTAGGAATACCATGCATCACGCAATTACATCTTAAAAGACAACCATTGAAAGAAATTAATAACATTTAATAAGCGCCTTGAAAATAGCTAAAGAAGTGGCCAAAAGTTTTTGGAACAATAGACAGTACAGACATTTATACACTCCCACCAAATAGAAAAATTTAAGAATACTAGAAAAACTCAAAAAAATTAACCAAATTTTTCTTATCGTCATTTTATATTTTTAATTTTGCACATGTGCATTGTTTGTTTTTGATTTTGTCGACTGCACAGTATAGTAAGGTCAGTTGGGCACCATCTGTGAGAAAAAGAGCACCATGATGCAGTTCACTTCACTAGAAATTTGGAAACAACATGCTGTACTGAATTGACATTTGCACAGGAAGCTCCAATACAAACATTTCAGAGTGTTTGGGTGCCAATCTGAGGATAGTGAAGAGGATTCAGTAAGAGTTGGATGAGTCTAATGGTGATTACGAAGGTACAGCAGCTCAAAAAACCCATTCTGATAAGAAAAGAAATGAATTTGTTGGTGAGTGCCTCAAACTCAACACAGAGGCCTACATCAAGTGTCTTGAGGAGATAACACCAAAGATGAACTGAAGGCAAGGATTATTGCAGCATTCTCCAACTTAAACAAGGAGACTGCAGGAGATTCCAAAGTCATCAGGAGGCCGTGGTTGAAGCTAATGTTGATTTTATTGAATGAATTTGCTCTTTAGTATTTCAAGATATTTTTGTGTAATTTTGGTAAATATATTTGTTAAAATGGGATGTCAGTGTTATTTTCATTTTTGCATAGTTTAGACGACAATTTATCCATCGCACTCTCTTCAGAAACAAGGCTGGTGCAAGGGTCTTGTGCCACTGAATCTATGATGTGGAGAATTTTCTGAAATTCTGCTATAATATTGTAAGTGCTATTTTAACCAAGTGGGTAGGTGGAGCTTGTGTTGTCAAGGTTCCTAGTTCTATATTTTTGAGACAAAGTTCTTTTCATCTCTTACCACTTAGTTTCAGATCAAAGAAAAAGGCAGATGGCTGGTGGGGCACAAAAAATTAATATCACATTTAGCCTGTCATAAAAATAAAAAAAAAAAACAATTCACAGAATTGGGTGTAAAAAGAAAGAAAGAAAGTCAAAATCTTCAAAAATCTTTTATCCTTTAATAGTCATTTGTGTTTAGTTTAATTTGGAATGTATATAAATGTAAGTAGAAAAAGTTAAATGTTGATAAGATAGTGAGAGTCACAAATAACTGTCCAGGTACCCCAACCAGACTTGACTCCTGCTGTCTGGTTGTGGATAGCACACGCTGGCCCTATATATATATGGCAGACTCTCCCATCGGATTCAACATATGAGGGTCAAGCAGCTCAGTTTTTAGGAACCGACAACCCAGACACTGGCACATATGATTTGATTATAGTAGTGAAGGCTTTGTGCAGAACAAACCACACTTTTGAGATATATATATATATATATATATATATATATATATATATATATATATATATATATATATAAATAAAAAGGCTTAAACACTAATATTCCATGGTCATAATTTATTCCATTGGAATCGTAAATCGATCCAATTCATCAGACCTACAAATTCAAAAAGAAAACAGAAAAACAACTCGGAAATAAAAACAGAATTTAGAGAGAGTGTAAGTATGAGGAGGAGGGAGATCAAACCTTAACAGAGAGAATTTTAGGAGAGGTGGGTGGAAGGGGTTTAAGTAAGAGAAAAATGAATGTTGTCGGATGTCAATGAAAT